TACAATAAATAAATATATATTTATGTATACTCCACGTCATGGGAGCACTTCTCTTGCGATAGTAACTTCTAGCATATTATTATGACGGAGTCTCATCCTATTTCTCTCTGAGGTAACAATATTGCGGGAACAATGATGGGTGTGGGGTGGGTGTTCCTACCCTCGTCTTCGGCAACGCCCTCGCTCCTTCCACGAAGCGCACGTACACCCGTTGGGCATTTTTCGTTTCATGCTTTGTAACCCCCTTTTGTTTGATGTGGTTTTATGCTAGTTTTATAGTAAATCTCAAGTCGAGAGTCTTGCCTAGAAGCGGTCAAATTGAACAAATAGCAAATCATATAGTAATTTGGAAAAATGACGATTAAAAACGGAGGGGAAATAAAAAACGATATATTCCACTCCAGTGAATATTCAGAGTTCAGAGTGCCAAATAGGGGGTCTTGACCTTTTGTCACAAGATTTTAACAAAAAACTCCCTGTTTGAGTGCGACACGTCATTGTAACCAGCTTAATTCTTTATATGTGCACACTAAGCGATATATTCTGTTGATTAAAACAGTTCATTTGTATTTGCTACAGTCTTGAGGGGATCTTATCTTGAGAAGACATGTCCTGCTCAACAATAATGGCGATAGAGAAGCAGCAAGCACAGGGACAGGGTGCAGAATTAACACCGCAGGGATACGAAGACGAGAGATTTGAGACGAAATTCGTTGATGAGTTTCTTCACTGCTTGATATGCTTGAATGTGTTGAGAGAGCCCGTGATGTGTCGAAACGAACATTATTACTGTCGTGGTTGTATCACGAAGCATATTCACAAAAACTGCCAAACATGCCCAACGTGCTCCGAGGAGCTGACTGTCGAATCATTGAGCGAAATCCCGAGAGCGGTGAAAAATATTTTAAACGAGTTAATCGTTCGTTGTGATCATTACAGCAGGGGATGCCGGGAGCCTATACAGCTCCAGAACTTAAACAAGCATGTGAATAAATGCGGTTATAAGCTAGTTCATTGCGGAAATGAAGGCTGTACAGAGACGGTCAATCAACGAGATCGAATTTATCACGAGAATGAACTCTGCGAGTTTAGACGATCGAAATGCCACAACTGTGAAAACATAAATATCGCGATTGATGGAGTGGGGAGGAAAATCGAGGATATTGAAACGAATATGTTAGCTATTGGCACGAGAACGGCAAACATGGAAGCGGAAATTGGGAACATGGCCACGGAATTGACAAACACGAACGCGAAAGTTGGAAATCTCGGAACGGAAACAGCAGAGGCGGAAATGCGCGCACGAAATGCGAATGGCACCCTGGAAAACATGGAAAAGATCACAACTGATACACATGCGAAATTAACAGACGTAAAGCGGAATTTAGGAAACTTGGAGACGAAAATGAAAAACACCGACACCAAAACAGCGGATATGGCAAAAGATTTAGCAGAAATGAAAGAAAAGGTGCAAAACATGGAGACAAGCACGGAAAATATAAACAAGAATTTGGCAGAAATAGGAGCCAAAATCGCAATCATAAAAAATGAAAGATCAAATACAAACACAAATATTACACTTATTTTATTATTTTTTATAGTACAGTTTGTTTTCTTATTATTCTTCAATCATGGCTTGATTCACTATTCAACATGAAATATTAAAAATTTAGGCATTCTCATGCATTGGTTAGTCCGAAAAATGTAAACAAATTTACCGATTACAGTCTAAAACGGATCCTCCATTGTTCTATCGAATATAATTGACCTGATTGTAATAAAAGATTATTATGCCACTGGTTTAAATAGCATTATTAAAATAACTCAGACTTTTTGGCCAGTGACTTTTGTGTATCTCTTTGAGTGCGTGGATTTCTTTATTCCTGCCAATGATATTTGAAGCTATTGACGCATTGTTGTAATTCATTTTATTGGACTGAATTGATCGTCGTGAATTTTAAAATGCAAGCAGTGGCTTGACTTACGCTTGTATTCAAAGAGCTCACTCACACTCCAAGGTATTGAGTTTGACAGAGGTTATCATATTGGTACTTCTCTCAAAAGTAGAATTGCATTCCAAGTTGCAAGAAAAATTGCACCGTGTAACAGGGCCTTAAAGGTAAAACACTGAGAATAAAGCTCTTATCCTAGTTGAAATACCCTGCCATGAGGAATCATTCCAATTGATATCAGTCCACTCAATGGGTTTGAGTGTGAGTAAGCTTTTAGAAATTAGAATGCAGGCGTAACGCCGCGTAAGCTCACCCCCAAGCCCTCGATAACACCTCCCTCCCTGTGTGTGACACACCACAATTACTAATACAACTCAACTGAGACCGGAAAATTATAAACGTTTTCAAACATTTTTAAAACATTTTCTCTTCAGTCCCCAACTTTACTAGACTAGACCTGCATGCAGGCTACGTCTGACCCAGACTGACCGGTTTTGCCAACCTGTTCAGAACCGAGAGGGTATTTCCGGTTTAAATATAGCAAATATCTAAGAACCCTGTGTTGAAACTTCCTGTCACAAGGCGTCAAGAGTATTGTATTACCCAGTGCTATGACTGCTATCATACACGTAAGGGATATTGTCTGTTGCTTGCCGAAGGAGTTTATACAGTTTCTCAGGGCATATTGCTTTAACAATGGCGTCTGGAAATCAAGCAGAAAACACTGAGGTAGATATAGAATTTGTTATGGGATACGATGACAACAGATTTGATACGAAAGTAAACGACGAGTTCCACTGTTTGATATGTTGCAATGTATTGAAAGAGCCTGTGATGTGTCGAAATGAACATTATTTTTGTCGCGATTGTATCACAAAACATCTTCACCAAAATTGCCAAACATGCCCAACATGCGTTGATGAGCTGACTGCAGACACATTGCGCGAAGTCCCAAGAATCGTGAAGAATGTTTTAGATGGCCTAATGATTCGCTGTGATCATCACAACAGAGGATGTCGCGAACGTGTACAACTACAGCACTTGAAGCAACATGCAGACAAGTGCGACTTTCAACCAGTCATTTGCGGAAATGAAGGTTGCGACGAGCGAATCAATGAGCGAGATCGAATTTATCACGAGAATGAAGTTTGCGAGTTCAGACGATCAAAATGCAACAACTGTGAAAGTACCAATGTGGCGATTGAAGGCGTGAGAAGAAAGATTAAAAACATTGAAACGAATATGCTAGCTACTAACACGAGAACGGCAAACGTCGGAGCGAAAATTGAGAACATGGCCACGGAATTCGCAGAGATGACCACGAAAATTGCGAACCTCGAAACGAAAACAGTAGCAACGGCAACGAGCGCACACAATTTCGGAGGAGGGCTGAAAAAGCTGGAAAAAATAACAGCAGCTACTGACGCCACGTTAGCGGACGTGAAAGAGAATTCAGGAAATTTGAAGGAAAGAATGAAAAACGCCGACACCAAAACAGCGGATATGGCGAAAGATTTAGCAGAAATCAAAGGAAAGGTGCAAAACATGGAGACGAGCACGAAAAATATAAACAAGAATTTGGCAGAAATAGGAACCAAAATAAAAAACATAGAAAATAAAAGAGAGAAAACAAACAAAAAGATAACAATACTTATAGTACTCGTAATACTTCAGTTTTGTTTCCTAATACATATGATGAGGAAGTTTTCAAATGTGAATCTACAAGCCGTAACTCTTCTAGTATCACCATTTACGTTATTACTTTTTTGGTTATCTTTATAATGTAAGAAAAACGTTCTCGTCTCTATAGTAGTGTTTCTCACTGAGAATTTAATTTTACATAAAAATCTATAAGCATTAAAAATTGAGTCAATAGTTTAGTTGTGTTGTAATTGCATGTTCAGTTTCCTTTGTGAAAGTTTCCTCATCGCCATATGATGAGGAAATTTTATATAAATTTTCAAAAAGCATAATATAGTTACATACTCCATGTTATGGATTAAGCACTTTCTTTTGCACAAGAATGGAAAAGAGATAACAAATATTGCATGAATACTTAACAACATTTCGTCTTGTGACTTGTGATGACTTTCATCATAATAAAACTAGTACTCTTTTTGAAATGTTTGGTTATTGATAGTGATTTCGCGTCATATGCTATATCATGGACTGATCTTCTATTTAATGACTAAATAAATCCTTTGAATTCAAATATATGAATAATAAATGTCATAAAAAACTGTGGCCGGTTGTATCAAGTCCGTTTAGCTTAAACGGTGGTTAATTTATTAATAGAAAACAAGTCTATCGTTTTATTCAGCAAGCGAACTAGATGTTTTTGACCTTTAATGCAAAAATACTGTTTACAACTACATATTCAGTGCATAATCTTCAGTTGAGTCGTTCAAGAGAATTGTAAGAGTGTTATTTAATTTGGACTTATCACCGCTTAAGCTAACTGGCTTGATACAACCGGTCGCTGCATGGGCGTTGCGAAACTGAGATGCAATTCAGGTCGTTAAGGTGGTCGTATACCAGTTTTTTTTTTCTCTCATTTCGACTATTATACTATATTTGGGTTTTAAATTGTAAAAGATAAGTTCCTGACACTGAATCATTCACTTGCACAAATGTTGTGTCCATGATTACCCGGCAACGCCCATTTTATTGCGCAATATTAGCGGGTGGTACGCCAAAATGATTACAATTAACAGTAAATGTTAGAGAGAGTTAAAAATGAACAAACTTATACCCAGGGCTCTTATGTTGTTTTTACTCGCGGCTGAGGGAAGCCCACTGAGCGCTAGTTATACTAAAATTCCAATTGTAACATGTTAATAATTGAAATTAATGACTTCGAATTCGTCTCGGTTTTTATTCAGCGATATTCACCTGGCCTTCGGCGAATAATTGCTAAATATTGTTGTTGTTTTCACTATTCTCATGGTTGTCCTGGCCTGGTTCATCACACAATTTTTACTCTGGCAACTGGAAACGATATTAACGCTCCGACGATTTCCAAACATCCAGCTAATAATTAAAGGAAGTTTAAATGTGCCAGTTGCGTCTCTCAGAAAACCTAGAAACAGAAAGGATACTAACTGAATATAGAATACAGTACTAAAGAATACAGAAATTGCAAATGCCCGCAAGTGAAAAAGTACCTTTCCAGTGGTAGTTCGTATCCGAACGAAATGTTATGAACAGATGAGAAAGAGAGCAGAATAACCAAATCGAAAAATCTTAAGAAATTTTTGTCAGACCGAGTTAGACCGAGGTTTAACCTCCGTCTAACCCCCGCTGTTCGACCGCGATCCTTCGATTCAACCGCGATTCAACCCGGCGTGGTTTTGTTAGGTTATTTCTGGACAGCACTCTATCCTCCATGATGACATGTACTGAGTGGACGTAGTTCTTTGTAAATGCGCTGACCGAATGATTTTTGCCATTTCTTATGTTCATTCAAGGTTTCATTTAAAATATGCTCACCTGCAAGGGGTGGTCCAAGGAATAAAAAATCCTTGAAATAAAAGTAGAAACCCAAAGCCTTGTGCTATATTTGCCGCTCCAACACACTCCAATACAGAGAGACAAAGTGTAGAATTGTAAATACCATAAAATATCCCAGAGATGGCCGAGTGTATTAATAACGTTATGTAAGTTGTACATAGGTAACTGAGAAGTGTAATTATACCATGTAAAAGGAGACATGATAAATTCAAAATAACCCGATATCTTATTATCATGTCCCCAATCTTTCCAGCTATAAGTCCGAATGTGATGCCAAAAATTCCAAAAACGACGTAAAACCATTTTGATTGGTTTTCGTGAATGCCGTACGCTTTAGCACGATCTGCCTAAAAGGGATCGATAGAGTTGTTATCTTAATTTAATGGTGGAATAAAACGTGATACCACAAAAAAGTACTTTTTATATAATCTAGTCGCCCCTGAGAGCTGGGCAAGAAGCCAGATAAATGGAAGCTTTTTTCTATTGACCAATGTTTGAACAGAAAGTGAACAGCTTATGATTTCATCTTAAAAATATATAAGGTCTGTTCAAACGGTCCAATTTTGTTGGATCAAATTAACATTTGACGTATGAAATATAGTCGGCTATTGATGAAGCTGTAGTGCATTGGCTTCAGTGGATTTGCTGCTGATATACATAACAAGACAACGGACTATAAAACATCCGATCCACCAGAGGTGATCAAAATAAAAAGACGGCCAAGGGCGGCGGAACAGGGGGGGCTAGGGGGGCTTTAGCCCCCCCAGAAGTAAAAGTGGGGGAGCTAAGATTCATGAAGAATGCCAGAATGGGAGATTAAATATACAAATTATGTTACCACGAAGTCGTCAAATTAATGCTCGCCGGCGTCTTAAATTCTAATAAGATATCCCATATTGTGATACGGATCAAGCGAATGTAAATTGACTTTCTTTGATCTTTCTTAGTTGTATTTAACAGCAGAATATTCGTGGTTGTATTGTTATTATTTTCGGACTGCCATTTTGTTTGGAAACTCTTTTGAGAATTTGAGAGATGTGAAAAACTACGATGAAAGCGGCAAGTAAGACTCGGAGATGGCCATTTCTGAAGATCTAGGGCATTGAAATTCCAAAAAATTTTCGCTCGGCGCCAACCATGGTGGCGCCTCAGAGATTAGCCCCCCCAAAATATTTATGTTCCGTCGCCCCTGAAAAGACCTGCTCATAAAAGTCACATATTATGCATTTACAAAATAAAATGAACCCTTTTCTTCTTGCAAAAAACAAAAAAAGTTAAACTTTGTAAAATAATTGCAAGATGGCGTCATTGTAATGACAAATTATGAGATTGTATAACTTTACATTGGGAGAAAAAAGAATTGCTCAAAATATTCACCTCACAATTTCTACTATATTGTGTAGTGAGTTGACGTACATACCAAAAAGAAATTTGCAACAGGAAATCCCAACATTGATACTGCTGAACCAAACACAAAGACAAAGTATCGTGGACGTTTACATAAGGACCAGTTGCAAAACGGTGTTCGATTTCTGTTGGGGATATCTCCATTCTGTTTGATCCAACCATAAGTTAAACTTAGCAAACAAATAACGACTCCAAGAGATGAGAGTATACGAAACATAACCTTCCAGTGAAATTGCTCCAATAAAAATGTGATCAACAAGGAAAGGCTTAGCGTTCCTGTGTACCAGCCGCCAGTAACAAAAGAGCATGCAATTCCTTGGTATTTTGATGAAATGCACTTAACAGGCGCTATCTGAGTCGAGGAATAAAGTAAAGCACTTCCAAAAGATACCATCACAGAAAATGTCGGGAATAAACCATATATTGAATTAACGTAAGAAGCTGAGATTAATCCGACTGAATAAAGTAATCCTCCTGCAAATGAAACTTTACGCATTCCAAACAAGTCGATTAGAGATCCCGCTAATGGGCAAAACATAAAGACCATTGCATGCTGACTTGATCCAACTAGTGCTAGAAAAACAAATATAACGTCTTTTTAGTAAAGAGGTGCTTTCTCAAAAAAACGTCTTATTAGCAGTCATGAATATGAATATGAATTGATCAACGTTCGTTCAGTCGCGTATATATAGCTATAAAGGTGGTTTGCAATCACCTATCCGGCTTCGTTAAATATTGGTCAAAAAATTGCACAATCTACAGGGTTCCTGACGGTATATAAAAAGGCAGCAGCCTACGAACTTTTGTTATTGAAAAGGAGATATTTAATATGCTCCAGTATTATAAAGAAAATCAGCATTTTGTTGATCCGAGATATCTTTTAACAAGTTTACAGCGGCAAAAAGTTTAACGATTCTTAGACAAAGTAACTTCTAACTCACCGATCGTTATCAAGCGTTAATTTCATAAACAATGTTGTCTGTTTAGCTTTTTAAGGGGCCAGCTACATAGACGGTGTCTCGAAAGCTATTTCACTAATTTAACCACGTCAAATAGAATAAAATTATACATGCATGGTTTGGAGTCCACATATAAAACTACAATACAACGCATTGACAATGTTGAGGTAGATTTATGCAAAAAATTGTTCCTTTCTCATCACATGCATGTATATTTTATTTTGCACAGATAACCGAATAGGAATCTTTTAATCAACATATTTTTCAAGTCAAGGTTGAGGAGCTTAGCAAGACGAATGCCACGAGTGAATGCAGAGACGAAACATATAAATAATATAGTGTCGGTAACTTCAATACTTTCGTCCACATTCGCCAATGAACAATGAACTGTGAGCTCGAAACGGCGAAAGGGACGGTAGATTATTGCTTTGAACTTTTGACTTGTAAACTAGGGCCTGCATGGGAACCGTTGGACAATATGGTACACTCAGAAACTCTCTGTTAAAGCCCTGTTACACGGTGCAATTTTTCTTCCAACTTGGCAATGGAATACTACTTTAATTTGAGAGATGTAAATTTGGTAACTACGAAACTTTTATGTTTATTCGTTTCTGACACTTATATTTTGAATACTCTGTACTAAATTACATCTCTTTAAAGTAGAATTGCATTGTAAGTTGCAAGAAAAATTTAATTACCTGTTAATGTTCTTCCTGCATTAAATTCGTCCAAGAATGTCGGCAGCATTATGGCATAATTTGATATTGTTCCCAATGAGAATGAAGAAATTAAAAAGGCACAAACGCAAATTATCATTCCTTTGTATATAGTTGTGGGTGATTCTGTTTCATCCATCTTTAACATATAACATTATTAAAATGCAAATTAGGAATATTAACTAAGACGATGACTGCACCTATCAGAAGGATAACTTCCGTGGCGGGAATTTTCTAGCCGAACTTGACAATCGAAGCGATGCAATGAGAATTTGTAATTGAATCGAATTATAATATTTGTACAATACAAAATCTTTTTATTGTGTTATATTATAACGGAAATTACAAAACATTTTTTCATGTGTCATTATACAGTTATAGAAACATCACGGAAAATGTTTTCCATTTCTTAATTATTTCATATTTGACTCGATAACAAAGCAGCGAGTATTCCTGGAAAGAAAATTAGTAAAGAAGCTTCAGAAATAAAAGTAAAAAGCGCAATTTTTCAAAGTGCAAGATATGTTTTAATTGTTGGACCAGGAGCTGGTCCTTAACCGCTGCTAATCTTGTTGTTGTTGTTGTTGTTGTTGTTGTTGTTGTTGTTGTTGTTGTTGTTGTGTTGTTTTGTTGTTGTTGTTGTTAGGGGGCGACGCTCTTTAAAAAACCCTTAAGGCTCTATCATTACTTGTTTGATCGAAATGAAACTTGGCACAATTATTCTAAGCAATATTCCGCATCGATTGACGGAGTTCGAATTTTTACTTTTGACCGTTGAAGCAAGTTTCAAGCAATTCTTGACTATATGTGCAGCAAATAATATATACATATCATTAATATTCAGCCTATATATCATTAATATTCAGCCTATATATAAGAATACGCAAACGATTAGAAATACATTGTCCTCTCTATTGTTGTAATACAATGCAGTTCAGAAACTTGCTTTTTTGTTCTCTGTTGTCTTTAAAATGTTTGAATTTTACATATATTATCATTCTGTTATAATTCCGAGCAATTTTTGGGGTAGGATGTGCAAGCGAATCGGAGAAATAGCGTTTTTTAAGTTCTAAGCAATAATCGCCAGTCACTGGTGCGTGCTTACTGCGTGCTCGGAATGTTGTCATGCGGTTGCAAAATGTGACAAAACTCCACGATGCCCTCCCCCTAGGGTAAATTTGACCCCAAAAATCGATTCCTGACCAGTGCTCCTGACGTAATAAAATTGGACCATGGGGTACTTTTCGCCATTTTTTGCCGGAAATTTTTTTCGATATTTTTATTATTGTGAAGTATTATTGCCGGTGATGCGATAATTCATAATTTCCTTATCATCAATACATCATGCATGTTTATATAAAAAAAACCCTGCAAAAATCCTCTAAAGCTCGATTTTGACGCTAAAGGGATCAAAATAATCCTGAAAATGTGAACTAAATCACTGTAACCCGTTTCGGTTTGCATTTTGGGCAATATTTTAGATTAGGCCGCTTTTGTAATATTGTCATTGAAAAATCAATCGCATGCATTTTAAAGTGAATTTGATAGCAAATTGGCAACATATCGATCTAAAAAAAAGCATGTATCTACTGAGGTCTGAGGACAATCTGCGCTTTAAATTGGTTCTATTTTTATCAAATCGGTCAAGTATTCACACAGAAATCGCAAGTTAAAATGAGCTAACCATGAGTTAAGATATTTTGGGAAAATTTGCTTCGGTGAAATTCAAACTTCGTGATTCCTGAAATTATTAGATCTAATTCTTACGAATACCACGTCGTAATAATCCTCAGTTATTGCGTACATAATTTATGTGAACCTTGTGTTAATTTCTTAATTGTGCACGGGTTATATTACACTTTTATAGACGGATGCTCGTCTGGGCGAATATTCCGTCGGCAGATTACAGAGGATGGATCATTTGTCTGAGTATAAACACACCACACTATCTAGATCGACGAACCATGTAGACGAATATGTCAGACGAAAAAGAATCGTTCGTGCGTTTACGGAAAGTGCACGAGAATTGCGAAATGATTTATATGGTAAAAAGAATGCACAAGAGCCGTTTTATGAGCCGTTGTATTAATATTGAACATGCACTATTCAACGAGAACGAACGACTATGCAGTTATGTTAATAAGAGTTATGTCGACATAATTATTGTAGCTGCATTATAACATAATGAAAAGGCAAAACACATTTATACCAAACTGCTTGTACACATTTATAAATACTAAAATACATAATTACAAAGATCTTAATTATTGAGTAATGAAATGTCGAAATGACGTTCAACCATTACACATTTGATTCTAGGATTTTGGTTTATACGTTTACGGGTGGCCATATTTTACCCAAGTTTCTTTGTAATTATTCACATGTTTAATCATGCAATTTTTGTTTGCCTCAAAAGGCTATGCTCGACTGTATCATTCGAATGTCAAAGTAAATATATCATTCAAACATATCGATGGAAATTCATTGAACAAAATAACGCTACCTATACCCACATAACGGAAGAAGGGTATCTCAGTGTTTCTGTTATCAAAAAGTTTCGCAAACACTTTTTTTATGACCTATACAAATAAATTGAATAGCAATGCCATGCATAATTAAAGACATGAAGGAAAGCTGGCGTCTTGGCGAGTTTAAACGAGTGCAGACAACTGAGAGTGGCTCATTTAATGCGGTTACTCGTTTGTTCTCGTTGAATTGTGCATGTTCACTAATATTTATACTAACAGACGAGAGATGCGTCAAGATGAATTACCATTCATATTCGTCACCCCGTTAAATAACTGTGGTTAAATGCATGATAATATTTATAACCGTATGCACGATGTCACAGCACAAAATTACATGACCAAAATATGCATGTTATGGCATAAAGTATACAAACGAATATGATAATTAAACTTGTTTTAGTCAATATAGAAACCGTCTATATATGAACGATTGTGAACCATACTTTTGTTCAGTTAATGAGACTAGAAACCGTCTATATATATGAACGATTGTGAACTATACTTTTGTCAGTTCAGTTAATGACACTACTCGTTCGTTCTCGCTCTACGGTGTTTGACGAACTGTGCAGATAATTCGTGTTGATGGATGATCCGTCTGTTTCAGTGCCCGTGTTTGCTCACCTCGCTTGCCCAGGTATGTCCAGACGGATGAACAGTCTCTAGCCTCTAGTTTCTAGTATAAATCGGGCCATTGAACGATGAATTCGCAGAAATCAGTTGCCTGTCAAACCTGAATGATCATGCCGGGTATTTACACAACAAGCAAATGCCGCAACCGCAAAAAAAACATGTTGTCAGGAACTTAAATACTTTTGTCCAGATTCGCATTTTGCCCATGAGCAAGCTACACTGTGAGCGCGAAATAGCGAAAGGGATGGCAGATAATTGCTTTGAACTCAGTTTGAAGTTTTTGACTTCGCACTGATACCTAACCGTAGACTGGGAACTATATGGTAGACTAACGACTGAAACACTTTGTTGGATATCTAATATGGATTTTAATTACCTGTTAATGTTCTCTCAGCATAAAGCCGTCCAGAAATATCGGCAGCATTAGTGCTAAATCTCGCAGTATTATGAAACGCCTGTGGAGGAAGTATGCAAAATTCTAAGTTGTCCCTGTGGGAAATTATAATTTAAGTTATTTAGGGACCGGAAGTAGAGAACACTAGCGGTATTGAACACGTGAGAAAGAACGAAAAAGCAACGTTTTTTTAGAGAAAAGTAGGGGATTGACGTTTGTGATTACTTGGGTTTATAACTTAATAAAACCTTTTTGAGACTTGTGAGATACATTGGAGGCAATTTACGACATTCCCAGTGAAAATGAAATGAGAAAGGAACAAACGCAAAAAGGGCCGTCGCTTGAAGCTTATTGGTGGTGCGTATTCATATATTCACGTTCGGAAAACCGTAGAAACAATACATAGCTAACGAAAGAAATCAGTCGGGCATTAAGCGGATAATTATATGAATCTTCTAGTGACACTGCGACTGCCCTGAACGCAAAATACTCATTTCTTTCAATCTTTGTGTCTAGTTGTGGGTGCTTCTCTGTCATTCATCTTTAACATCTACATTATATATTATACATTGTATACAGTATACAACATAAAAAATACAAATTAGGAAAGATAGGCGGGTACGAATCACTAACCATGCACAGAACAACGTTTGCATCGCGATACTATCCAGTGACTTAAAGAGCTCATACCATGGTTGCAGATTTTGAATATATCAAAATCTTATTAAAAACTTATATATGTAAAAACTTTGCAATACAACTTTTATTCAAAAATTTTACCTTAATTGATGCATTTATTAGCTTTTAAAGTTACCGGACATAACGTCAAATCGTGAATTTCGTGCAACTTCAACAAAATAAAACTGACTTGCAATTTCCCATTTGACGTCATGTCCGGTAAGTTTAAAGGCTAATATCTCCATCAAGACAAATTTTTTCTATAAAAAATATATTGCAAAGTTTTTTTTAAATACCTAATACTTGTAGCTTCACTGGGACAGAAATTCAATGTCAACGAGTTCCCAATAAATCTTCAGGGGTAGACGCGGTGCGTAGAATGAAACGAACTCGACGTAGGAATTTTGATAATTTATTAACAGGATATATACAGGTTTGGGTCGAATAAGTCGATTGAGAATATTGCGTCGGTTCGAACTAAAATATGATAAGCAGACAAACTATAGTAACCTATCACATGAAATTAATACGAGTATACTTGATAATTGACATAAATGAGATATACTTATATTAAACGAAGAATTAGCATGCAATATAACAACTAAACCGATTTTAGCAGCGCTTATCGAAACACTTAGCGCGACAATTGCTAACTGAATCAACGTATTATCTATTTACTTACTTTGGTTTGCAGACGCACCAACTTTAACTATCATGCGCGTAGATATAGCTTTGATCGAGGTAGAATAAAGATAGAATTTTTTGTCTCGCAATGCGAATAGAATTGTAGCATAAACCTTTGCTTTCTTGCAAGCGTCCACATTCGAGACTCAACATAGAATGAGTAACCTAAGCTAGGTAGGCTGTTTTTGTGTAGCATGAACCGGATTTCAAAACATAGAAACGCGGTGTGTTTGTGACGGACATAGCGTGGCTAGGCAAGGCAACTGCATTGCGCATTTGCTAACCAAATTTACGCATTTGATGTAAATCTTTGCGCTGAAACAGAAAATAACAACTTGTTTTTGCCAGAAGGTCTTTTACAAAATAACAATTTGAACGACCTTCCGTTTCGAAACCAACAATACTTTTAAAATATTCAAAATCCGCAACAATGGTAATGGCACTTTAAATCTGGTTCTGTCTGGTATAAACTCCGGTTTGTTAGTCTCGGGCTCACTCGAGTTTTAACGCGTTATTTATTTCAATTTTAGACCAATTTATGGTTTAGGAATTAGGTAACAAAAAAGGAATACCCGAAAAGTGCATACTAAACTAAGTCAAATTGCCAGGTTTTGCTGCAAAATACTGTAAAGTACCGAAAATAATCATTACCAAGCGAAGTTACCAAATTTTGTACACTTTTGTATTACGGCTGGTACGGTTGGTAGTTGAAAATTACGTGGTGTTAGGGCTTGTACCGTGGCCATTGCTCTTTCTTGAATACGAAGCACAACATACAACTTAGGAGTTTTACAAAGGAGTATATTTTAATCATACAAATCACTCATATATATACAGAATTATATCTATGTTAACTATAGTTTATTACGTACATTTCATTACCATACAAGGTTTACAATTTTGGTACATGCAACAACCATTTTTATGTTGGTATTCCTGGTAGCCAGAGATTACATTCTTACATACATAACATTGCGATTCAGTCATGTCAATTAACCTTATTTAGAATATTTAGAGTATATCTCAACATCCCATTCCCGCATTCCGGCATTCCCCCATTCCCGCATTCCCGTATTCCCGCATTCCCCCATGCCCGCATTCCCCCATTCCTGCATTCCCCCATTCCCGCATCCCCCCATTCCCTCATGCTCGCATTTTCCCATTCCCGCATCCCCCCCATTCACCCATTCCCTATTTTAAAGATAGCCCAAAAAAACAGACGAAATTTTCCGTATTGACGAACGGGTTAATAAATGGGGTCTTGTTCCTTGATCTGAAAAAAGCATTTGATACAATGAGCCGCAATATCCTATTGGGAAAATTAAAACTTCATGGTATCAATGGAGTGGAACTAAAATTATTCCAAACCTACTTAACAAACAGAAAACAGTCATGCACAGTTCAAGGCTCAAATTCTCGATACAATAAGATAATATGTGGCGTCCCCCAAGGATCTAACTTGGGTCCCCTACTATTTTTATTATATATCAATGATCTTCCTAGTTGCCTTACTCAAACGCAAGCCTCCACGTTTGCAAATGATACAAACATATCATGTGTTGGTAAAATTAACAACGACCTTCAGAGTATCAATAAATGGCTTGAAGCAAACAAATTAACCCTAAATGTTAAGAAAACAGAATTTATGATGATTGCATCCAAACGTAAACTAAAACAAATCTCAGGAGATTAATTGGCACCCACTCTATAAAACAGGTTACAAGTAAAATTGTTTTGGGTCTTACTATTGACCAAGAACTCAAGTGGAATGAAAACAGTGACAACCAATGCAAAAAATAACTCAATCAATTGCATTATTGAAAAGAGCTAAACCTTATGTAACCCAAAATGCATTGATTGAAATGTACAATTCTTTAGTACTACCTCACTTTACGTATTGTTCAAACGCATGGAATGACGATAATCGCACACATATAGATAAGCTGTTTAAATTGCAAAAAAGATCAGCGAGAATAATTACGGGATCCAATTATGAAGTACCTTCGCATGAGATTTTTAGTCATTTAAACTGGGAAACAATAGAAAAACTACTTAAAAAGTGTGAATTGATCATGACATTTAAAGCCATACAAGGCTATCTGCCAGGATATATGTCAAACATGTTCAAATTTACCCGTAATAGCACGTACTCGCTCAGAAGTAATGACTGTAAACTTTATCTAAACAAACCTAACACTGAATTTATGAAAAAATCTTTTTCGTACAGGGGAGCTTCTTCCTGGAATGACCTTCCTGACGAAATCGTTAAAATTTGCAATAGCCTTTCTATCACTGGGTTTAAAACTAAATTAAACAACTATTTTAGAACATTGACGTAAATATAATAGAAGTACATTATCTTGAAGCATGGGGTTTGTGAGATATCTTATTCCATTTTTTTACTTTCTTTCCGGCTTTTTTTTCCCTAAATTATGTAATAGTTTTAATAGAGTGTTTAGTTTTAAGTCATTTGTAATCAATTATTTGTACATAGATTAAATACCAACGGCCTCTTGAAAATCAGCCTAGACTGAAAAGCTACCGTTGTTAAAGAAATTCTAATAATAATAATAACGCACGAACAGTATGTTTGTCACCTTTCGTTTATCCGACGATCCCCGAAGATCAACAGACATACGTATACCCACAGACAACAGACACTTTTTTAACAACATAGCGGTAAAAATATTCAAAAACTGATATCAGTCAAAAATCGGGAGGGTGACGGACACATTTTTGACTTCGTATCGCGCTATGTCAGCGGTAATTACGATGGGCAAAGGGGACTAGGGGACGTCACAAAGCTCAAAATCCGCCATGTTTTTTGCTTTACTTTCTGATCAAGAGCAAGTCCTCGAGGAATTATTATATAGCTCAGTGGTGTATATGGCAGCCAAAATTCAGTGCAAAATTCTCTTGCACTTCAAGAGCATATACTTTATGTAATATCAATTAAAAGCACCTAAATGCAATCTACAGAGGGGGGAGGTAGGCAAAATTTTCTTAATTTCCTAATTTGAAAATTTCTTAAAACCGATGAACAACTTCGTATCCAGGGCTCTTATGTTGTTTTTACTCGCCGCTGAGGGAAGCCTACTGAGCGCTAGTTATACTAAAATTCCAATTGTAACATGTTAATAATTAAAATTAATGACTTCGACTTCGTCTCGGTTTTTATTCAGCGATATTCACCTGGCCTTCGGCGAATAATTGCTAAATATTGTTGTTGTTTTCACTATTCTCATGGTTGTCCTGTCCTGGTTTATCACCAATTTTTACTCTGGCAACTGGAAACGATATTAACGCTCCGACGATTTCCAAACATCCAGCAATAATTAAAGGAAGTTTGAAAGTGCCAGTTGCGTCTCTCAGAAAACCTAGAAACAAAAACGATAATAACTGAATATACAGGGTGTCCCAAAAAAACCGAAAACTATTTAAATCACTCATTGTTAAAATTTGAATGCCGTATTCACGAATTTCAGCCCGTGGGGATTTAATGCAACTTATAAAATGCTAGGGCATGGTCCCTTGGGACCATGGGGACATGTCGAAAGTCATGGTCCTTGAGATGCACATTTAAATATTGTTATCCATATTTGTAAATTGTAAATATGGTTAATAAATACCATTTTTTCGAACAAGCAAATTTTACTGCATCATATGCATGCATAAAAATGAGTATGGTAA